TTTGATAGCTCTGTAACCAAAGCAAAATTGAAGGCAATAAAAATTATGGTCTATTTGAGCAATAACGACTTTATAGAGAGTGTTTTACGTTTAATTTCCTACATTTTCGAGGGGTGATGGATAAAATAGAAATGATGACATGTTAAAACAAAATGTGTCATGTGTGTTACACTAGTGGAAGTTCAGGATTTTTTTATATATATTTCATTTTAGAATTACGACCTTAAAACTTCTATACTCTTAAAATATGGATTATTAGCTAAGATTTTATGCTATTCTAATTGGTATAAGATAAGCAAAAAGTAGTTTAATAAAATTTTGAATGTAAGACACTAAAGACTTGTTTTATGCGCAGTAAAGGGTACCCGGGGCAATAGGGTTAATATTGTTACGTATCTGCTTATTTGTTAATTTCTGGGATAAATTCTTTCCGAGGAACTTCAGCGATACAAGTCCCTTCTTGATTAAACCAGTTTATTCTTTCTTGATACAACTTTTAGTACACAGAATTTCCACAGTCAGTACATTTCTCGTCACTTTAAACTTAACAACTTTTATAATACATGCTATAAATCACAGTGATTCACAATCTCGATAACTTCGCTCTGTACGAGTAAAAAACACACTTTATATTACCAGGCTTATATACTAAAGAAGAGAGCATCTCGAACAAACTCGGGCTTCCCCGACATTTCGAGAAACTTCACGCACGATACCAGTGTCACGTGACTTCCGCTGTCGTAACAATATATAACAATATGCTTACTAGTACCACTACTAAGCATAAAGTTACCAACACTGAATTAGGTAATTTCCAATTATCTAATCTCTGTCCTTCTGCTGTAGCTCATAAGTAATCTACATGCTGCTAGAATTCCTTAATACTTAATCCTGAATTTCTAGGAGGGGAAATGTTTAGTGTCTTCTAATATATCTGTTAACTCCTTAATGTCTGTTTCTATGTTTATACTCTGAATTAATTGTGATTCTTTCCTGGTTAATAGTTCCTGTAATTCTGGAATCTTTACATTTAATTGAGTTCCTACGTATTTAGTTTCACTTATAAAGCTAGAAGCCAAGGTATTACCTTGACCATGAGCTGAACAATTTCTGGCTAATCTCAGGTAACCACTATCTCTTAATTTAATTAGTCTGGTATGATAGTCAAATTGATGTACATTTGACTTGTTGTTGTTTTTAATTATGCACAAAGCTACACAAGGACTATCTGTGCTCTGCCCACCAGGTGTATCGAAACCCGGGTTCTAGTGTTGTAAGTCCGCAGACATACTGCTGTACCACTGGGGGGTACATTTGACTTTAGACATACAACTGATAAAGCAAGTTCATCCTTAACGTTAAATAACCAAGTTCCTGGAGTTTTAATTTTACAAAAATAGAATTGTTTAGGAATAATTATTCTTTTCTCACATAATTCAGTTATTCTATTTTTAATTCCAGTGAATATTACATAATTACAAGTTACAATAGGTACTGAATAAATACCTGAGTTAGGGTCACAGACTCTGATGGGTCCATCTATACAATTCGACATGTCCTCTTCAGGCATTTCAATATACGTATACTGATCACTGAAAAGAGCAATGTAAGGTTTATCACTTTCTATAGTTAAAGCTAATGAATGATTTATCGTCAATGGTAATGATATAATTTTATAAAATTTGAACATTCTATCAGTTGCCTTCAAAGGTATTTCTATAAACATTCGTTAGATACTCTAATGGCTGCTGTCTTTACGTCAGCCCATGTGTAATACATGTAAATTTGATCACTTTGAGTAGGTATTACAAACTGTAAGTGTGGAGGAAATCTCCTTTCAATTTCATCCAATACTCTTTCTAACTTACTCGGTGGTAGAAAGTATGAACTCAACTTTTTATCTGCAGCTACATACAATGTTTGTATTAACTTAGCTAACTCTGTCCTGCTACTTCCTACAGTAAAAGATAATTGTTGTAAATTATTCTGAATTCTAGTATTAAAAACTAACATTTCAATTCCTGTTTTATGTAACCCAGTTTATCTTACTTTAGTATGTATCAATGCATTAGTAATATTCACTAAAGCTCGAGATACTTTTCTAATTTATTGGTCATGTAATTCAACTGTTTGATTTAATGAATTCATTATAATTGCCTGTGAACCATTTCTTTAGATACCTGTCTCTGTCATTTAATTCTTTTAAATCATCAGTGATTACTGTTCCGAACAAGAATTTCAAAACACTTCCATCTGTATTTATTAAACCTCGTCTCTGTAGGAGATATGGATACACTATCTTTAATTCTAATAACAGTTCACCTATTTCGTCACGATATTCTCTGATTAAAGTCTTATAATTTTCTAGTAGTCCTTCTTGTAAAATCCTAGCTAACTGTAAGATAGCTGTCCCCTGATGTCTCATGTGATATAATTCACAATTTCTGACATGACTATTCACATTCAATGACTTCTCAAACATTACTAACTCTTCTTGTAATCGCACTAGTAACCTACCATACTGTGGAAACAGTATGGCTTCCACAATTATCCATTTATCTCCGGATAATATAAAATTAATTTTCCGTCCTTCTTAGGAACTAATACAACTGGAGATGCATATGGACTACTACTGTCCTCTATTACTCCTTGTTCAAGCATCTCTTTTACACATTCTTTTAATTCAACCCTGTGTTTTTCTGGCACTCTGTAAGGTCTCCCTACTATAGGCTTATTATCACTCAACACTATCTTGTGTTTGACCTTATTTGTACAACCATTAGAGTCATTTTCTCCAACAAATATATTTCTATACTCTTCTAACAATGTTATCAAACCCTGTTTATATTTATGTTCTACACTGAGTGGTCACAAGTAAATAGACACCTAATTTTTCGTCATTTAACTGATTTCTGCTATCTAATTCGTTTTCACAGAGCACTATATAAATGAAAATGGTCTGCACTCTAATTATATTGTGCTG